ACCCCCCCCCCCCCCAGGCAGTGCCACTGACTGAAGTGTTTTTAGGCCATTCCCAAAGTCGGGATATTAACATGTTCTTATGCACAGTAGACAGTAAAAGGGCTGATTTATTAATGCCATGCTCATACTGTGCCGGAACAACATAGGGGGAACTGCTGCTTTTTCTTTCCTCATCCTTACTACCGTCATTTTTCCTCTACTTCTTTTATATGTTTGTCACTCTCTGTGAACTGGTATTTCCGGGGTGCCTTGATAGTCGAAGCAGACTTTGTGCTGTTGAGGCTAGAGAGGTGAGAAGAGCAAGCCTGATTCCCCGTTTGGACTTCTCTGTTGAATATTATTAATGCACCGATCATTCCTTTCATCGAAAGGGGGCCCAGCTAGTTTTATATAAAGTACTATAAATATCTGTCACATGTAAAATGCGAGTGGTCCTAGCACTTCCCGGTTCTCACACACATTTTGCATACGCATAAATTATGGCCTACGTCATAGGTCATAGCTCACCAAAGACACTTTTGATTATCAAAACGTATTAAAGAGATTCGTTTTATAGTGAACACATGTTTGCACTAAAAGTTCTCAAAACACGCGTTCAATAAGCCTGATGTCGCGACTAGAAAAAAATGACAGACATGTTTTTAAAAGCGGTGTTGCCCCAGCTGTGAACTTTTTTTTCAATTTGTAGAAACCATAGACTGGGATTTTCTATGAGTATTCATATATTACGGAAATTTCTAAAATACAGTGTAAAAGTGTTTGAAAATATATTCATTTGGAAAGACAAATTGATATAATAAGTTATAGTACAAACGTTGGAGAATCCTTGTTCGATAATTAAGGAGATATTTGACAACATATAAGTAGCGCCATTAAATTTTTACCGCACTAATAATTAATTGTCCTTCAATGCTGAAGTTTGAACACGAAAAGTACCACCACATGACCAAAAAGCAATCAATCCTCATGGGTTTTCCCGAACCCTCTCTACTGTCTCATTACACAGCCGTCTGCCTCTTTGAGCAGTGTCTCTTATTTGTTGTGGGACCAGAGCTGAGGAACTCTATGAATAATTCATTAAAGATCTGAGAGTAATAATATCTTGTTCACGGGCTTTTGCGTCACATGAAAGACACCC